ATTGTAAAATAGTTTTTTTATATGTTGCACACCGGGTGAAAAGTCAGTCGTGTAACATCGACGGTCGCTCCTGTATGATTTAATTAGTAAAATTCCGAATAATTCCGGCCTAATTTTTGACGCGCTCTTAGCCAATCAAAATCGAGAATCTGCCGTGACGGTTAATCTAGCTAACGCGATCTGCATATTACAATCAATCCCAATGATTCGATCTCTATGACAACCAACTCAATGTTAATGGAGGCTAATCAAATTTTCTTAATGAACCATCCAACAATCAACAATCAATTCCAACAAATTCAGTCAACAGTACTAATATTAGTCATTTGATGCTATACTCTATAAAATTCGTTTCGCTATACCTGGTTCTGTCATATTTGACAATTTAAAAATGATTTCGAAAGATCTCAGAATAAACAAGAATTCATAAAGAAACATGAAGATCTATTTTCTACAAAGACATAGTGAAACAAATAGTGAAGACTTTTGGGAAACTATATCATAGATCATTATCCTGGTTCAACCATAAAGCTTAAATATTATAATTTATGCTATAAAAGGATATCTTCACTATACGATATTATTGGTATCGCACTCCCTGTTCCCATAACCTGGTTCACTGGGAAATACAGTATGTTTATTAGACAAAACCGAGGAAATCGATTCTTTAATCAAATGGTTTAAACATGGAAAAGAATGTAATTTTATATTGATTAAATTTTATCTATTTTATGCATATTAGGCAATGATGAAGAATTTGGATTAATTCATATTTTCTAAAACAAACCATCAAAACATAAATAATAAGAATAATCAATATTATCATTCATATATTTCTTGGGTTAATTACAGCGAGAATCGGTATCATCTAAACCAACTGACAATAATACACCACTCAATTGTCCCCTCTGTTTGGAAACCTTGACTAGTATATATGATTTGATGCGACATATTGAGGATAATCATGCATACGTACTGATTAGTATATATGATTTAGACTTATTACTTCTGGGAGAAATGCACATTTATAAATGCTTTTCAGTATAATAAATTAAATAATAAAGTATCTATTTATTTTCGTATCTATTTATTTTTCATTTGTGGCAGCCATTTCGCAGGTTATATTGTTTTGTAAAATGAGAATATTTCCTTCGTGCTATTTGTAATTATACAAAAAATATCATATCGACGGATCGGTGAAATCATGGGGTTACAATTTATTATCATCTGACCTACAAACCACCCCGAAAATCATTTTTTTTGATCTAACATCGCTATAATAATCATTATAATAAACTGAGTGTCAAACCAATCTCCGATGTCAAAACTAGGGTTCTGCAACCCGAAATATTAAAATTTGGCATAGGCATGGGCACAGAGTTTTGATATTTATTATTTATTGTCGCGGCTGATGCTGGAAATTTTAATTATTTTAATATAAAATTTTTTGGGCCTTTTGTTAAGGGGGTTTTTTTAGGGTTAGGTTAGGGCTTAGGGGTAGTTTTAATAATAAAAGAGTATAAGTGGATTTTGGTAGGGTTTATATTTTCCCTAATTTCCAGCTTCAGCCGCGACATTTATTAATTGTGCCCGGCACCATTTCAGCACATTGTACCCATGCCTTTGCTGGTGCCTGGCACTTTGTGCCCATACCTTTAATGTGCCTGGTATTTTATGCCTTTTTGTGTCTATGGGCATAGGCGTGGCATAAGGCACTAGTGCCCGGCCTGGTGCCAATGTGTTGGGCAATGGCATTTACAGAACCTAATGGTCAGGTAGAAATTTATTCATAGTGAAAGGTCTAGCTAGGTTTAATGCTATAAAAATTTCTTTAGAGCTGTTCTTGTAACATGTCTGAATCTGATCAAATAAGGATTTAGGTTTATAGAAGTTTGTGATAAATCGAATTAAACAATTTTGCCAAGAAAATTAGATAATGATGATTACGACGATATAGGCAATTGCCTACCTGATTCTGATTTGTTTATTCATTTGTCTAACAATAATAAAGAGCGTAAAATTTCTAATATTAATCGATAAATTTATATTTTTCATAGTTAAGTATATATTTTCAAAGATATAACATTTAGCGTTTAATAAAGTCTAAAGCACTCATATGTAGTACTTTGAATAAACAAAGTCCAACGTTGATTGTCATTATAAACACAAATTCGTTGCATATGAAGTAAATTGAACCCATTAATTTACAAAACATCAATATCGCGATTTTCTTTAAAAAAAATGAAGGCTATCTTGAAAATTGGTTTGGCATCTATTCTAATTACTTTATCGTATGTTTGCTTAGAGTATTTAACAGGTACTACGGATTCACCTTATAGAGTTCTATTACTTTTTACTAGGCTCTGCATTTATTCTTGTATGAATTTAAATCTACGTATTAAAGAAATTTTCTATTTCTTGAAAAAGCATAAAGAAATAACTGCCTCATTGATTATAAATGTCTTAACAACTGCGTATGCCTCTATTACTGTCATAACTTCCATTATAACTTTTTTATTTATTTTTCGTATCATTATGAAAGAAGATATCGAGATTAATGTATTTATAGTTCATTTTGTACCCATAATATTATTAGTAATTTTATTTCAAAGCATAGCGGAGCTTATATTGTTTTCAAAGTCATTTAATGATACATTCTATACACGTTTTCTTGAATTATTTTTTATAATATTTATTTTATCACTGGTTTTATTAAGCGTTATATTTATTCGAATGATAATGAAAAAACCATTTATAACATCAATTTGTATGTATTGTGGTAAACAACGTTCAGGATGGAGATGGTGCCATACTTGTAGAAAAAAATATTTTCAAAATAATTTTCGAAACTGGACAAGTGGTGATAATGAAATTGATGAATTAATTAAAAATTATCAATTAAATGCTAAAAACTGTACTGATTTTATTGAATGGATCCCTCATAATCGACTCAAAGATTTTGAATTTATTGGAGAAGGTGGTTTTGGTACTGTTTTTTCAGCTGTTTGGCTTGATGGTCCTTTAATGTTGATAGATGGATTTGTCAGATTGGGGGAGCAAAAAGTAGCTGTTAAGAGAATCAATACATCACCTAATAATTCCGAGACATTTATAGAGGTATTTGGCAGTTTATTAGTATTTATATATTTTCATGAAAAATATGCTTACTATAATTTTATTTAGCCAATTGCACTTATAGAATCTGCGATTTCGTGTAGAAGCGACGTAGTAAATTTTGATGTTCTTAAATGTTATGGATTAAGTAAACTTCCTAATACCAATTCTTATTTAATCATTACCGAGTTATGTAAATATGATCTTTGGAAGCACTTGGAACAAAACTTTGGAAATCTAGATTGGTTTGAAAAATTGCGAATTCTAAAGATGACTGCTAATGGATTAAAAACAATCCATTCTGTTGGTCTTATTCATCGAGATTTTCACACAGGAAATATTTTAGTCGGTTATAACAATTATATTTACATTTCAGATCTTGGATTGTCATGTTATAAAGACAAGGTAAACTCTGGTGTATATGGAGTTTTACCATATGTCGCACCAGAAGTTTTAAAAAGACGTCAGTATACACTAGCTTCAGATATATATAGCTTTGGAATTATTATGTGGGTTATTGCATATGAAGAACAACCTTTTTCAAATAAAATGCATGATATCGACAGTTTGTCTTCCAGCATTATTCTTAATAAAGAACGTCCACAAACTGATAGAAGAAACGTGTTTGTGCCTGATTGTTATAAAGAATTAATGGAACAATGTTGGGATGATAATCCATCAAATAGACCAAATATCAATCAATTATATGAAATTTTGAGGGGATGGTGTCTTGCTGGAATGAACTCTAATCGATTTAAGGATGCAAATAGAAACAAAAGTAATAAGATTAAACCAGAATCGAATAAACAAATACATTCACAAGAAATGTATACTAGTAAGCCATATGACACAACAAAAAATCAAGAATATATTAGTAAACTGATCAAAAATCAAGAATATGTTAGTAACCCAATCAGTGTAGTAATCCCGAGCGATGTCTAAATTTATATTTTAAATTAAATTATATAAGAATTTATTTATATAATACTCCCTAAGAATTTTTAGGGTTAGGATGCAGCTTTAGGATAAAGGGGTTTTATATAACATATAAGGTCCTGATTTCAGTTCTTGGGGTCCTAAGCATTTTTACTTAGAACTCCTGACTCTAATTACTTAGTCTTTTTTTGAGATATAACACCCCCGGTGAATTTCACTTCTATGAACGTTAAAATCTTCCATTATATAAATGTGTTTTTGTAATGCACTTAGGAAGTTACTACTAGTGTTTTTTTTTTTCTTAGTTAGGCCACTCCAAGCAGATTCTTTGTTTAACATAACATAAAATATTTTATAGAGAGGTGAGGGGGGTGGGGGAGTGAAAAAAAAATAAAAAATAAAAAAATCACTGCAATTTTATTGGCTGAAATAATTTAAAAAATTTAAAAAAACTAATACTACAATTTGATTGGTTAATATCATGTTTTATATTTATATAAAATTTTAAAAATTAGAGAGGGGGTTATGTTAAACGAATAATCAGCTTGGTGTGGCCTTATCGAAAATTTTACAGTATCTAATCTTACTATCCCTTAAACCATATTCCAGACAAATTTGCCTGGAAAATTGAAAAGTATTTACAAATTTTTAAATAAAATTAAAAATTATTAATAATAT